TCGTAAATATTGCGTAAAGAGATTAATAATCAGGCGTGGCTGAATTGAGGACGCCTCGTTAACTTCTTATCGTATCGATATGTAATACACTTCTTAAAGTGTGTAGGCTCTTAAGCCTATACAACCTCAAATGGCTTTGGTCAAAAAATTTTAAAATTTAAAATTTGGTTCAACAATGGTAGATCAGTGCGTGCGTGCGTGCGTGCGTGCGTGCGTGCGAGCGTGCGAGCGTGCGTGCGTGAGTGCGTGCGTGCGTGCATGCGTGCGTGCGTGCGCGTGTGTGATTCCGCATAATAGTGGAAGTGTTGAAATAATAATTTAAAATCTTAATTGAGATTGCACTGATTAGTACCTATAACACGATTCCAAAATATTTTACACGATAGAAAAAAAAAACATAAACTCGAAACATAAAATCGAAATTTTACAAGAAAACCGCTGTATTCATTAGGTCCTTTACATATACCAATGATTTTTTTTTATAGGACTTGCCAACTTACGTCTCAGTGTGACGGGCGCAGTGGCAGTGCCCCTCAGATCTTTGCAATTTAAAGCTCTGAGTGGCACTGTAATTGTCATTTACAGGCGTGTAGCTTAACCTTCAGGCACACGACTTATTCGTCCCGTCACTTGACGTTATAAAAAAGAGAAAAATTAACTAACTAAATGGAGCATAGTATACGATATACATTTTTCGAATGGCATTAATTTCGTTTGTAAAAAAGTAAATTCTGAAATAAAGCCAGTGTCCCTGCCGTTCGATCTGCGCTATAGAACCAATACGATAGATCTTTTGGGTAATTTTAGAATTCCCCTTTCATAAAAATTTCTGTCTTTACTTATAAAATACCTAAAGCTCCAAGTACCGCTGAATGATAGATTTTTCCTTATCTACGTTCTTTTTATTAAAAAATATTCATAAATACCGAAACAAGAGAAAATTAGAAGGGGCCATGTCCGACGAATTCGTTGGATATGATAACACGTCCCAAAGTAAAATTGCAATACGAAACCTTCAGATATTTCATATTTATTTATTCATCAGAAATTGGAAACGTAATAATACTTATACTAAAAATTTATTTGGGTAAAAATCGTAAGTATAAAGTCCCGCCATTTTCAGTCTACCTCTATATACCACGATTCACCAGTTCCTGAACATTTAAAAAAAATCCCCCCTGATGTTAAAATGAGCGGTAAAATATTATTTTTTTAAATGACCATAGACAACATACATTTGGTTTTTTATTTGTGCTTGACTTTTCGCGGTTACCGTTTCAACAACTTACAAGT